ACCCCCCCATCTACCCACCGCAAGCAGTTCTTCACTGACACTTAATCAGATTATCCCCAGTAGAAAACACTGGTGGCTTGCGCATACGCTGGATTTGGACACCGCTGTTCATTTTTAACTTCCTTGAGACAAACTGTACTTTTCCAACTCTGTCACTGCACTGAATCACAAGAAGACACTGTTCCCCACCCCCACCCCCAGCCAGTCGACAATGACACCCAATTTGACTAGAAAAAAACGATTCGAACTTAAAATATCCCGACAAGATTCGGGCATGCCAAAACAAAATGTTCGTTAATAAGAGACTGAATTGGTGCTGCCAGAGAGTTCGTAGTAGGGCACAAATGTTCATTTTCTGAATTCTTAGAGTTTATTCAAAGTCTGGGGTCCCTATTCTCAAAGCACTGGCAGGGATGCTGGGGACATTTGCAAGGGAAAATTTTCAAAGGAGGGAAATGACAGAAGTTATCAGGAAGACAGCATGTCATGAAGGCCAAATTCAAACCACAAGTTGCTTGTCTGAAGTAGTACTTGCGGTGGCCCTCATGAGAAATAAGGGTTGATCTGAGCCAGGGAGCGGCACAATCGAAATACCTCTGTAAGGTGCTGGTCCGTTCTGCAAAGCAACTTCTCTCTTCTGGAACTGGGAGTAGAGGGAGGGGAATTCAGATGCTAAACGGGAAATGGTGCAGAGTTTAGAAGCTGGGCAGTGATGTCGAAGCCCCGTAAGAGTTAACGTGGACAATGGTTAACAGCCTTGGGAATAACTAAGGAGTTAGGATAGAACCAAGAGACCTTGTAGAACAAAAACCAGTGAGGCTCTCTGACTTTCTGCTATGAGGAAACATACTAAAATGGAGCACAAGAGATCCCAAGTATATCCCACGTGTAATCTGTACACAGAGGCTGTAGGCAAAGAAATTTGGTGGCGGTGGCGGGGAGACCCTTTTAAACAAAGTAAAATAGGTTTCTTCATTGTACAACTTCTCAAAGCCTTAACAAGCTAATTTGTTTTCCCACGAATCAGGGTGCCTTATTCTCTACGTTTATTTAATGACAGAACTTTACATGTTTTTGTCCATCTGTTATAGAAAGGACTATCTTACTGCTCTGAAGATCCCGATTTGGGAAATAAATATGCAGTTTCTTGTTTTTTATTCTGTCGTTACATACTTCAGAAAAAGAATTACCCTTTTATTTCATTGACAGCTTCACAGTTCCTTAATTTCTAAAATCAGGAATTTACTGTCCCCATGACTTTTGATCAGACTTTACGGGAGTATTATTCAACTGTATGAAAAAAAATCCCTAAAAAATTATTTTCCTTTTGAACTGGGTGTGGACACAAAGCCATTACCAAAAGAGGTTATGAAATAACTTGATTGTCAAGAATGGTTAGGAACGGGGTAGAGCACTTTCCTTTTTGGGTGAGTTTGGGTGAACTACCAGTGAGTAAGAAAATGCAGCCCAGAGAGCTGTTTACACTCTGCAGACTCACCGTTCTATGATTTAAAACACCCAAGTACTGTGCCTACATATTATTTCAAGATTTAGTTAGTTGTTAAATCACTGATAGTTGATGTGCTCTGGCCTCAAATAAATATTTCTAAAATTAAGAAAACAGAATCTACTCATGTCTTTTTTTTTTTTTTTTTTTTGGCCCCCTCTTCAAGTGCCTGAATGAAGCCAGAACGCCCAGGGATGTTGTAGAAGTAGCAACCAAATGTTGCCCACATCTCCACTGCCCTCAGGGGCCCTTCACTGAACTCGGAACGTAAGTCTTGACTATCGCCTGCCAAAGCTTCAGTGCTCCAGTATTTCTGCGGGGCCCTAAGCGCTGCCAGTTCAACCCCTCCGATCCCCCTGGAGCCGGAAGAGCTGCATGTTGGGAAGACAATTTAGAAGCACAAGACCTCTACAGTCCCTTAGTCTAGGGATGGAAACTGCCTCTTCTAGGCTTAAGACTACCACACTCAAGCTGAGAAAGAACAGAAGTTAAATTTGACAAAACAGAATATTCTCAGTGTTACGCGTTCTGCCGTAACCAATCCTGAAGTTAAAGGTCTGAAGATGCGGTTTAAAATGTAAATACTAGCACGCTACGGTGTTCGGTAGGCCGTGTGATTAACGGACCGAATCAGAGATGGCACTTTCAGTTTCCGTGCTATCGAGATAATTGTCCCAGAGGCCATATCCTGTGATGTTAGGATCTAGGAAGGAACTGGGGCTTGAAAGTCAAGACTTGTTAGCCGAGATCCTCGTGTACGGCGGCCAAAATTCAAGGCTCTTCATTAGCAGAGGCCACCAACTGAACCCTCCAGACACGGACCCTTTCCTTACTTTTATTGGACATTGGCCTTCAGCAGGTGACTGAATGCTCGGGTCCTGGCTGAGGCCTCCCATGCACGCTGCGGGCTATTTAAAAAAAAAAAAAAAAAAAAAGACTCCGCAGGGAGGGCAGCACGGGAACTAACAGCGCAGATCGAAGACAACAACCCACCGACAATCTGCAGCCTTCCATAAGGCAACGCACACCTGCCACCGGTCCCTATGTGACGGGCCATCTTCCCCTATCGGTGTGCCCTGCTGCGGCCCGAGAGTACATTCCTGGTATTTTTTAAATGTTTAAATTCCTGACCGTGGAGGCATAATCGACTTGTGTGGACAATAAATAAGTATATTAAAAAGGAAGCTGAGTTAAAAGTTTTATTCATTCAACATCTCACATTACAAATATTTAAAAATTATATGCATACTGGTATAAATAGTCATTTGCAAACTATTTAATAACATTAATTTTCCACTAGCACTTCAACAAATGAACTCTTTTTAAAAAAGGAACTGTGTTATATAACTTAAGAGTAGAACATACAAAAATAGGAACTTAACGTGAAAATGACTTTAATAAAAAATGAATTACCCTTATTTAAAATGCTATAATAAATACTACAACCTCCCCATACACAGTAAAAACTATATGGAAATTCAGCCAAGTAGTACAATTAACTGACATACTTAAATAACTTTTCCTTCTGATAATATGAGCAATACACTGGAAAAAAAAAAACATTAGGGATTAGTAAAAACTAGACACCCACTTGCTAAAAGTTTCACTTCCAAAAAATATAACAAAAATCTGATGAAAATTATAAAAACTAATTATACTTTAAATTTTAAAAATATAAAAAATAAAACAGTTGAATACAATATTGTCCCAATTCTTACAATGCTATCAATCACAGTAGCTTTAAAATAAGATAATAAAATAAAGCAAATGACCAAAACCTCTTTTATTCCATTTTTAAAAATAATCTCAAATTTACATTAGTAGAAAGATTGATTTCTGATTCTTTTCTTTAGAAACACCAGCAAGAAAGAGGATTACTCTTAACAGTAGAAAATGACATTTTTAAATGTCTGCAATTAAAAACAAAGAATTACACTGCAAAGATCTTTCAAAAGTTTGAAATAAGTATTGCACATAACTTGAAGTTAACTTGCCACAATTCATCACATTCAAGTTTTAAATCACCTTTTAACAGAAGATTCAACTCTTCAAAACAAAAGGGGTGAATTATCAAGTCTTTCCAACAGCACTCTCATAAAATGCTAAATTCGTTCACTGCAAGTTTTATTTTGCATTCTGCAGAGGTCTGTGTATGGAGAAGTATATATATTATACCAAAGCGGGGGGACCTGAAGGGGGAGGGAGAGGGCTCCTTTACATAGAAAATAATCAGAAACACTTTATTTTACATTGCAAAAATAACCATGTAATTACTCTGTAACTACATTGTAAGTACATGGCGGGTGCCATGCTAGTGCGCTAGAACTACATGCTTGGGAAATTGAAGTGATACCCTAAAATCTGTAAACTAATTACATGTTAATTATGTTTTGAGTTACATGGTAACTCCCAACTACAATCCCATGTAATCTGAAGGACATGTAATCAATAAAGTTCAGAGTAATAGATAATAATTGTTTATGCCCTGTAAATTGAAGTGTAACCAAATCATCTGTAAACACGCTTGTCACACAATCACAAGTAAATATTAGTAGAATAACAATTTCTTACATTAGTCATGCATACTAACATTACACACCTGTCCCGTGGCAGGCTATTTTTTTTTTTCTTTATATATAATTAAAAGAGCAGACATCTCTGAATCAAACACTTAACATCAATTTATTCATATTAAAAATGGCTAAACATTCACCGAGAATGTCTGCATTGTGAGTCGTTTTAAAAACTTAGTAAGAAGCTGTAGACAATTTTGTTATTTTAAATTTCTACCCTATGCTTACGCTTTTAATTTTTATTTTCTTTTTAGGAACTACAGTGTTATCTGTCATTTTCATGCGAATTTTTTTTTCATTAATTTGTGACTTTACATAGACTATTTCTTAAATTATAGGTACACCAAGAGCTGGTGCGGGGGAAGGATGTTTAAGCAACATGCTTTCTCTTCTCTGCAGACTCTAAAATAGCATTGCCAGTGCACGACATTCATAATTTAAAATGTATGCAGAGCACTGAAATGTATAAAAAGCAGAATATAAGAAAATAAAATTTATTAAAATTATTTATATTAAAAAATGAAGTATATGAAGATCTCTCAGTAATAAAAGTACAAAAAGCTACTCTTTGCAATATGAAAAATTGAGGTATTGCATAAAGAGATATCCCGTCAGTGAAAAGTGTGCCTAAAAATGTTCACTGTTGGAAAAACAAGATATACAAAAGTAGTGCATAACAAATATACATTATGTGCATGACAAAATAAGTTAGCTACAAAAACACTGTACCGAAATTCAGCAGGTCATGTACAAAGGGAAAAATTATTATTCAAAGCTAGTTCTCAAACAGTGTTATTTCTTCATCACACCTGTTTACTGAGTAGGAACAGCGCGACAGCACACCCCAAGCCGCCTACGAGCGTGTAAAAGAATAAAAGGAGGCAAAGGAACATTTCGATCAGAATCATGTCGTTCAGGAGAAAAGAAAAGAAGAAAAAAAAAAAAGTCCCTGACCAGCTACACGAGCACCCTCCGTTTGCATGACTGCTTTCCGGACTTGCGGGGAATTCTCTACAAGCAGGTCCCTTTCTATGCTTGACCATTAGACAGCATCTGCCTCCATTTTGACCTTTGGAACTTAACAGGTATACGGTTCAACGAAGCCCGTGTTCAAACTAAAGGACTGCTTTTCCTAAAGATAATCGCTAGGGGCCATCAGCCGGGTGGTTCCACCGTAGTGCTGGGGCAAGTCTTTGGTTTTGAAGGATCCAAGATGGTACTGTTAGGTAGCACAACTAGCAAGATCGCCACTGGATTTGTTTTGTTTTTTTGTCAATGTTTTGCACACTGATGATAATCCTTTTCGTGGTGGGTAGGGCATTTACTAAGAGAATGTCAATTAAACTAAAAGTTATTTTCCATGACCAGGGCTTCGAGGGACGATTTTGAGATTTACCCCCGAAGCGTACTGTTCAACACATAATAACGCCTTTCGAAGCTAGAATTTTATGTATAATAAAGCATGCATTACTTGATGAAGTTGGCACTTCAAACACTGACTATGTCCCATGCTAAGTTCTGAAACGGTAATGTTATTTTATTTTATAGGAAGAGTAAGATAAACATACGTACCTTTGCACAGATTTACACAGTTACTTAGTTCAACAGTGCAAAACACTCTGCAACTACTTAACTTTTTTTTTAACTTTTTTTTTTTCATTTTCTATGTTACAACTAAATTACAGGATACCCAAAGCAACTTGAAGTCTAAAAGGAAGCCAATCGGCAGCCAATTTGGATATTGGTTTCGTTTCCCAGTTTGGGCTACAATTGTATGGTAACACAAAATCTAAAATGATATCCTTGAGGTATCTGTAGGTCCGTTCTGCTTTGTTTTGTTTTTGTTTTTTTAACGTCAAAATGGAGAGCAAAGGCTGACACCTGATGAGTGTGAGTAAATTAGGATATAGAGTTTATACAGAACATCAAAAATAAAATTTATACATTTGTTCTTCGGGAGAGGAAATGCTAGTTTTCCCACCAGTTTTCATTAATTCTAGCTTTGGTAGGCTTCCTGGGGCCGTGACCAGACGAGGAAGTTAAAAAATAAATAAGTGCACTCCCCTCAGTAGTACATTTACCCAATTTTTTACATCCTAAAGTTTTTTAAATGGTTGAAAAGAAAATAAACCTAGCTCTGCCTACTTTTCTATGTTGTTTTGTTTTTTTTTTTTTCCTGCGGTGGTAGTAACTCTGAGGCGCCAATGAAATTCTATTCGGCCTCGAACCCCTTACCATTTGTTCTAATGCTGCTTCGATCTTGCTCATGCATCTGTGTTTGCTTTAACATGCTCTTTCCTGTTAATAATTGTTAACTTCCTCCACTGCTGTTAACGAAGAAAACGGGGGCGGGGGAGGGGGGATTGGATGGAAAAAAAGAGAGGCAAAAAAAGAAAGGAAAAGGCAAAAGCACTTCTCTGGGGGGAAAAACTGTGTCAGGACAGAATGATAGTGTTATCGTTGCGTGGTTAATTTTAATAAAAGTATTCTTATATGTTATATTATTAACAATAATTTAATTAAAAACCCAAAATACTCTATTGTTTCATTTCTCTTTTTAATAGTTCTCTTTCTCCTCTAAGAAAATGTTACGGGAAGTTTTGGATCCTCTTGGTCTCCAGCAAAACAAGAGAATAAAACTTCCGTGCAACACGATGGCAAATACGAAAAAGGGGGTCGTACATACTGTTTTCAGTGACACGAGAATCTACAAAACACCTATATCATAGGTCATTCTTTTCATTACACTGTTGTTAAGTTATGGGCTGCGACAAAAGGACATGCCAGTGTGAGGAGGTCGAGGAAGGGGTCAGAATGAACAGAAGAGCGCACTCATTCTGAGGCCTGAAAACGAGCGCTGTAGTTACCCTTTAGTTCCAGCGGAATGAGATATGTCGCGGACGGTCACCGCCTTCCTTCACCAGGGGCTTGTGGAATTCCCTGCCAGCACGAGAATGAATAGCAGCCCAGCAATATTCACAGTAATACTGCAGACAGGTGACATTAGCACAGAAAAACGGAGCAAACTTTCCACCACAGCGGGCCCCCTGACATTCATCACACAGCTGATCATCCAGGACATATGGCTTAACTTCCACCTGCAATCGAAAGTGAAAAGAAAGGCGTTTACAGTTTTCACTGAATGGTCCCGGCACCGCTTGCTGTGGCACGTGCACTTCCACCCTCTGTCCGAATGAATCTGTGTTCCAGAACAAGGGTCGATACCCCCTTTACTGAAATGAAGACAGTCCATCGTTTAAGAACCTGGCGAGGCTTTTATACTCCTCATTTTGCATTTCTGTCTTTTTAAAGGAACACTTTGCAGGGGAAAACGATTCCACCAGAGATAAAGAAGCGAAGCCAGCTGTTTTGAACAGCATGAGATTAAACCCACGGGAGAATTTTTAGAGACACAAACCATCACTTTAATTAGTGGATCTGGATTCTTGTCGTATGTGGAATTGTAACTTGAACAAAACCAAGGAAGGGCTTCCCAGTTCCACAAAATAGCCCTTCAATATTCACATCAGAGGGAAGACGCCCGGCTTCTGCGTCACACGCCTCTAAGTTGTAATAAAGGCTGGTTTCTATTTGCAGTATACACAGCATGGGCTATAATCACAGACTCGGGATGCTGCGAAAACAAGGCGCAGCCATGGTGCTTGCAGTCGAAAGCCTCGCTTTATTCTCTGTCAGTAAGGCTGGTTTACTTCAGTCTAAAAGTCAGAGGTGAATTTATAAAACTGGGTCCATTCCAGTGTTCAATAGGCCAACCTGTCATTTGAGTCTCTCAAGCATTAAAAATAACCTGGCTATTAATTCACCAGTGAGAAAAGAGTTGGCTATTTTTAGTCGTAGAGACTCATGGTTAAAGGTCCCTTATGGCAGGCCGCCACTACCACTGGGGCCATCCAGTTCTGACACTGCAGTCCTGACAAAGGTTAGCCGTGAACAAAAGACGACGAGTGACAGCAAGGCAGGAAGAGCAGACGGAACCAGAGCATTAGCCTTCTGGCCCTGAGGCCACTCCATAACATCTACGGAGCCGCAAGAACACTGGTCAAAGGGTTTGATGGCAGAGGAATACAAATGAAGTGTGCATTTCCAATGACTGACCTTCCGCCTCTGACACCTCAGCCGGGGTGAGGCAGTGCAACAGAAGACAGTGCTTAGTCAGATGTAGCTATTTTTTAAGTGAACTAAAAGCATGTGGGCTTGTTAATATTTACTGTGCCTTGTCTGGCCCTCTTCCTCCATGTTTATACTAGAATCTAGACCTTTCTTTTCATACATTCACAGTATGACAACCGCTACAACCTTACATTTTAAGCAGCCTACACGTGAGATGAAAGCACAAGCAATAAGTATAAACCACCACTGACTTGATAGTTTCTACATAATGAACTGAGAACAGCACAATACAGTCAATTGATAAGGACTTTTTTGAGCCAAATGCCTCGGAGTGTTGATATCTAAGTCAGTCCTAATGAAAAGTACTGGTCTCCCATGAAATAAGGCGCTGACACCCAGCATAGAAATCAACACACTGCTTTTTTCATCAAGAGGGTCTTTCTATGGGGAGAAAGAAAACACCAAAAAACAACAAACCCCAAGTGAGCTGAACTAAACATTACGTTTACTAATGTGGCTGATTCACATTCTGGTGTAACGGTGTAAATTCCTATCTCACCACCAGCTAGAAACCCTTTGCTTCTGGCAGCCGGTTCACAGGCCACACTGAGTAGTGTGGGTGTAAGATACAGTTATAGCTATCAGAACACCAACCCCTGAGGACAGGAACTTCTTGTCCTACGCGCTGATACATTTCGTGAATGCATGAAACACAAAAATAAGAAATCAATCTGTGAATGCAAAGAAATAAGACGGATGACGGAACACAGATTTTCAAATATAGTACCTTCGAAAATAGAGCAGAGCACTCTCTCTGAGGTTTTCTCCAGCTTTTTAATTCAGAAGGTAAGCCAACAAAGAGGAATTTAAAGTACTGGAGATAATGCTAATTACTACCTAATTTCAGGTGGCAGAATGCACTACAAATAAAAAGATTATGATTTCTTCCACTTAATCTGTTTCAATGAAATATTCCTAAGACATGCAGCCCTACAAGTGAGTTTATTCAGTCGTCTATGACATAGCACACTGGAAAAGAGGGCTTGCTGAGGTGTTCATGTTTCAGGATTAAAAAAAAAAAAAAAAAGGGTCAGGGGCTCTCAAGGGCATTGATGTTTGTACCTGATATAATGATATTTACTGAATGACTAACTGAATAAATGAATGGAGGGAGGTGATAGTTTAGGAGATTAAATTGACCAAAGTGAACTGATGCAGGGCTCTGGGTAGGCTACTCAAAAAACGAAGAGACAGAAAAAATTCATAGGAATCCTCAACTGTATGACAGAGTATACCCCTAATTGGTCCTATAGGCATAACTGTCAGCTGCCAATTTTATTGTCATGTTAAAATTCCCCCATACCAGTCTTGGTAATGCCGCACTGCAAGGGCCATATGCAGAACTTTGCAAAATGTAATCAGGGACTCACCCGTTTATCGATCTCTCCATGCTGCAGCTGAACAAAGCGGGCACTGATAGCAGCTATGTAACTCTGTTGATTAGAGAATGCGACTCGCCCAGCTCCCTTTGGGTATTTCAGCTCAGGGTCCGTGTCAATCCCGGCGTAGCACACGCCTCCATAGAGACGATCCATTATCATGGCGAGCTCCACTAAATAAGAAAGGAGCAGACATGGCATTCGAAATCGGGAGAATCCATTTCACTCACCAAAGGTTTCATCAAAAGCAGTTCATCCTTATTCTGAGCTCACATCCTTATGATAATTATTAAGTTGATCTTTAACCTTTTAAATAAGGGCAGGGACTCTGCTGGCGTTTTTTTTGTTTTGTTTTGTTTTTTTACATATGGTCTCTTCATCTTCACAACACAACAGCCCTATGAAGTAGGTAGTAATTTCCTGGGAAAATTGAGGCACAGAATGGACGTTCAATCTGCCCAAGGTCACAGATGCCTAAGGGACAGTGAGGGGCTGGGCACCTTGGTCTGTCTGCTCTATACCATGCTGCCACCCTGTATTTACAATTAATAATGTATCGCTTAATATAAATAATCATGGAAACGCCAGCAAACTGACTGTGTGAAGGTCGTTCTAGAGTAATCTCCAGCAAAGCCTTGTTACCTTTCCCTACAGTCTAGCTAGTCACCGATCTTTTATATAAAAACTTGAAATAAAGAACGTACTGTACTCTCCATGAAATGTTAAAATTTTAAAACTGCATTCTTGTTCATTTTATATTATCTCATTTATACTATTAAATCTCAAGTTACTTGAAGCTGGGGATTAAATATCTCCTGTAGGTAGTACTCTTAAAGACATGATGCTGTGCTGAGAATGCTCCTGTATTTCAGAGCTCAGCAAATAGGTGGTGGGCAAATGGGGGCTTGGGAAACAAACCCTGAACATCTCGACATACTCTTTTTTATTTTTTAATGTTTTTATTTATTTTTGGGACAGAGAGAGAGAGAGACAGAGCATGAGCAAGGGAGGGGCAGAGAGAGAGGGAGACACAGGATCTGAAGCAGGCTCCAGGCTCTGAGCTGTCAGCACAGAGCCCGATGCGGTGCTTGAACCCACGAACCGTGAGATCATGACCTGCGCCGAAGTCGGACGCTCAATGGGCTGAGCCGCCCAGGCGCCCCTACAGTCTACTCTGGCAGGGCTTTGCCAGATGCTGACGCGAGTGACGCTCACTAACACCACAGGAAGCACTTTGCACTGCTCATCCCACCCAATTCTCAGAACAACTCTATATAAAGCACATAAGCTTATTACTCCATTTGACTGATGAGAAAATTGAAAATTAGAGAAAACAGTTTGTCCAGTGTCACTCAACTATTAACTGGGAGCAGTGCACATGAATTCAAAGCCAGATACTTTGATCCTAGAATTCTCTTGGGACATTAACTCAAATGCTTATGGCTAAAAAAAAAAAAAAAAAAAATCGTTATGAGGGGAGCACCTGGGTGGTTCAGTGAGTTGAACGGTGGAATTTTGATTTCGGCTCAGGTCATGATCTCAGTGTTCATGACTGCATCAGGCTCTGTGCTGACCATGTGGAGCCTGCTTGGGATTCTCTGTCTCCCTTTCTCTCTGCCCCTCACTCGTTCACACACTCACTCTTACTCTCTCAAAAATAAATAAACATTAAATGAAAAAACTTTATTAAGGTATTTCTTATGTTAAAGGAGGAAGGGGGTATTTTTGTTTGTTTAATCATACCAGCTCGCAATGGTCGGGGAACACCACCAACAAATATAGTTTTTCGTGGGTCAAGAGGCTGTGAACCATCCATCACAAAGTCACTGTCACTGAGATTCCAAGGCCGGATCTGCACCTAGGGAAGAGACAAACCAAAACGTCTCATTCTTAATGTTGACAATTTGTGGAGAAATAAGCTTAAGATGATTGCAGGGTATTTTAAGAGCAACGATAATCCACATCATTATTTAAAAAAAAAATTTTTTAATGTTTTATTTATTTCTGAGAGAGAGAGAGACAGCGTGAGTAGGGGAGGGTCAGAGAGAGAGGGAGATACAGAATCTGAAACAGCCTCCAGGCTCTGAGCTAGCTCTGTTAGCACAGAGCCCGACGCAGGGCTCTAACCCATGAACCATGAGATCATGACCTGAGCTGAAATTGGACGCTTAACCGACTGAGCCACCCAGGGGCCCCTAATCCACATCATTATAAATCGGTAAAACTATAAAACTAGAAGACTTAACAAATAGCATAGCTCAAATCCTTCATTTCATTTAAGAGTAAACCAAGTGATTTTTTTAAGTGAACCAATTTTAAGTGAACCAAGGCGGAAAGTTCAATTTCATTACCTATTATAAACTAAATCACTAGCTCATCTTTAATTATTGGTAATTAGCTGTTTTTCACATTATTTGGCCTTCTATCCCCCTGGTCCCCCCAGAATCCACAGCATTTGATGTTGATCGGAATACGGTGCTATTGCGTAAACTACGACTGTGTGCCCAATCCTACAAACTACTCCTAATACTAACAAACCTGTTGCATTATTTCAAAAAGCATTTCAAAGTAAAAATATTAATATTGGCACACAGCAATGTGTCCACTCCTTTAGCCAACCAAGAGTCATGTACCTCATTTTAATTGTTTGCATTTACTTATTGTTACAAATGCCCACACCAAAGGCTATGGGTGGGGTCATAGTAGGGTATGCCCAGTATGCACATCAATGAAGTCCTAGGCCAGAGGTCCAAATTCAAATACTGTGGGGACTATAAACAAGTCAAGTATAAAGAGTCGAGGCCACGGGAACTCTGGGAAGAGTGTTCCTGACCTAGACAACCCCAAGGGGAGCTCCCTAATTACTGCTTGAGCTGAACCCATAGGCACCTCCATTCTGAACTGTACCGCATTACTAGATCAGTCTGAGTGACAATCAATTGCTTATTTACCAGATTTGTCAAAACAGGACAGTTGCTACTATTCCTAAGATCAAATTTTATGATTAAAAAAAAAAACGTTTTCAAAAAGAAAAAGTCAGGGGTGTGTGGGTCGCTCAGTCAGTTAAGCATCTGACTTCGGCTCAGGTCATGATCTTGCAATTCGTGAGTTAAGAGCCCCATGTTGGGCTGTGTGCTGACAGCTCAGAACCTGGAGCCTGCTTCGTATTCTGTGTCTCCCTCTCTCTGCCCCTCCCCCTGCTCATGCTCAGTCTCCCAAAAATAAATAAACATCAAAAAAAGCTTAAAAGAAAAAGCCATATGCCATGTACATTTCTCTCTGTATATAATTCATTTCACTTTGGGGAATACCTTGTGCAAAAAGTTAAGGATACTTATTGGGCAAAATTTTGACCAAAAAGAGGAAGGAGATAGACAAATATATATTTGTGATTTTTGAGTTCTATCATTCAAACTCAGCTACTTGATCTTTATCAAATGTATTAGCAAGTAAAGTCTTTTAATGGTAAAGATTTACCAATATTTTAATGAACCAAAAAATTCCAGAATGTCAACGTTAGGAGGTTGACAGCAACCACATTCTACGTACAGACTTATCGATTAACAAACACGTCAAGATGTTGGTGGGTTTTCAAACAAAGCAGTGATGAAGGCAAAAACAAGAAGCTATGTCATGTTAGACAGCACTCACTGGCTTATCTTTGATAGTGGGACTCGATACACACAGGTAGAGTTTTCCATCTTCTTCAATACATGCATCAATCAAAGCCTGAACAGAGCTTTCATCTTGAAAGAGCAGGAATGCATAGCCTGATAAAAAGGGGAAAAAAAGACTTATTTGTTTCCCTATTTTTTTTATAATTCTTCAACAGAAAGGAAGTATAAACTGAAACTAAGGAAGAGAAAAAGAGCAAAAAAAATTAATAAACATAAACAGTCCTACCTGAGGTCTGATAGTATCAACATTAAAGTTCAGCTTGATGTCTTGAAACACATTTTAGAGTAAAATTAAGTTTGAGTTGAAAGTATATATTAGGTAGAAATTTTAAAGAGGTATTTGGGAAAATGCAAGTTTAACAACAGAAAGTTTCACAGCAAAGATAAACATTCATGAGAAGAGTAAACATTAAACAATATAAGGATACACTGTACATATGTATTAAATCTTGAGAATTACCTTTAGGAGGAAAATAGGACTTGCTCTCTGCTTTATGAGGCCAATCCACAATCAAAGGGCCAAAGCGACGAAAACTGGCTGTGATCTCATCTAATGAACAACAGAGCAAAACAAAAAACGTAAATTTAAATATTTTTATAGTCATTTGGGGTAAGTAGTTCAGAAAGAAGTTTCAAATCTACTATTTATAAAATGGTACAAAGGACACCTGCATCTCCTTGATTGAGATTCCCCAAGTGTTAGTACTTTACACATTTGCCTTCTCCTTCTTTCTTTCTTTTTTTTTTTTTTAATATTTTTTATTTACTTCTGAGAGAGAGAGAGAGAGAAACAGCATGAACAGGGGAGGGTCAGAGAGAGAGGGAGACACAGAATCGGAAGCAGGCTCCAGGCTCTGAGCTAGCTGTCAGCACAGACCCTGACGCGGGGCTGGAGCCCACAAACCATGTGATCATGACCTGAGCCGAAGTCGGATGCTCAACACACTGAGCCACCCAGGCGCCCCTCTCCTTCTTTCTTAACCTTCTTTCTACCTGTATGTATGCAGCAATCAACCTATCTACCTACCTACCTACCTATCATTTTCTTTCTGACATGATGCTTTATAACCACTGGCACTTGCTCAAGAGCAGGTCACTTCCTCGTATACCACCATGTAACCCTCCCAATCTGGAAATCGATATTCATATACTATGACCACCCAGCTCACAGACTCCACCCAAATTTCAAACTATCCCAATAGTCTCTCCTTTTCCCTTTCTGATCCAGAATCCTACCCAGGACATGTGATACACTTAGACGTCCCATCCCTAGGCTATCAGTATTCTCCAGTTTGGGAACAGCTTCTCATTCTTTCCTATCTTTTATATCTTTATCAGTCTTAAAAGGATAGAGACTACTCATTCTGTAGGATGACACTCGGCCTGTACCGTTTTCCTCATGACCTGACTCGTGAGTAGACGAAAGGAAAGGAAATTTTCAAAGAACTCCTGGAAACAGTAGGTAATGTGTACAGATAAGACTTGGGAGGAGATAAGGACAGAGGAAAGGGAGAGATGGGAGTTGGGGGTGGGGAGGGGGCGTAGAGGGTGTTCAAATCCCAAGCTGGTGGAACTGTTTTTCTCTCCTCCAGATGGTGAAACAGTAGAGTCTGCTCTGCCCTTGATGCCCGTTTCTGTAGTACCATTCAGCTCACATGAGAGAGACTGGTAAATACAAGGATGAAATCTGTATAACCTATAAGTTTTCCTGGTCCACAAGTGAGTTTTCCTGGGCAAGGGGAGCTAGCAGAGTGGGAGTAGAATTACAATCCTCACCAGGAAAAGAGAAAGCCCCTAGCTTGTCTGCTATGCAGGCAGGAGCCCTCCCACTCTCTTATAAGAAAATTAAAAATGAGTGCAGTGACCGGGGCTCTCTCGCTGGAGAGGTGTACTCTCAACCTTACAGGGTTCTTCTCTCTCGAGTGTTTGCAACTTCCCAGGTGCTAAGGTCCATCACATCTGCACTGCCTCCAAGCTCGCAAGCCAGCGTTTCTGCTCCATCGGTTTTGTGCATTTTCAGTATTCCTTGAGGTGACCTCTAACCATGCTGGCCAATTGCCTACGTTGTCCAAGTTACTCTAAGACATTAATTTGCTTTTTGTTAGTGCTTCCTAATGAACTTTTGAGTTCATTAGGTTCGAAAGTATCTGCTTCTGACCCTATTTCCCCAGAAACCCTATAATTTTTTGACGTACAATTCTACATAACACAATATTCTCCAGGACGACATATTTCATGTCATAGTAGAAAAACCTGCCTACTTAAATTGCTACTGACTTATCAATATGCTTGGTCTTAAGGATGAAGCAAGATGACTATCATAAGTCCCATTAATTTTGCTCTGTTTAAACCATCTCCCTTGCCTGGTTAGTCATAGTTAACTGTGCATCTAAGAATCTTAGAAACTGCACATTTAAGATTGCTGAGTAATTTTCCAAAAAGATACAGACGATCTAGACCAGGAAGGAGCTTATCCCAGGCAGGTAAAAGGCAGGAGTTTTATCCCAGAGATAAAATTCAGTCATCTCTCTCTTTTTGTATGTAAGCATATAATTCACTCATTAAACACCATCTGGGCTAAAGATGTTAAAAGATTAAAAAACAAACAAACAAACAAACAAACAAAAAAACCACCCAGAATCTACGGTATTAGGGAAAATGAGGATTCTAGGCAAAGAAAAGAGAAGGCTACACCTAGGAGCTTACTAAAGAGGCCAATTTCGTGACCACGTGGTAAGCCCAGGGTGAACACATCGGAAAGCTATGCCCTCCGAGGACAGGATGGAGACTGATTCAGTCCCGCCCGAAATCCCAACACAGCTTCAGAGATTAAACAAAACAAAACAAAAGAGAACTGTGTTTATTTCATTCTTTGGCTTTTTGAAAACTTTGTTGTCTCAACCTTCCAAAATATTGATCATCTTAGGGAAAATGAAGTGACAATACACTTAATCTCAGTCTAAATGGGAAGTCATTAAACCATATTATCAGACTTCACAAATTTTTAGAGAAAACTGTTCCATTCTCCGTAACATTAACTGGTTTATTTCCATTTCCATTTAGGAAACCAAGACAAAAGAGATTAGGAAAAACCACCACCACCACCACCACCACCACCATCAAGGATATACGGCTGCTCTAAGGTCTGCAACTTGGATTTTCACGAGGGCCACTTATGACCCACAGATGAATACAATATTACTGAACAATTAGTCTTCTAAATCTCTGCATGGCTGGCCCTAGTTCAGGTCTCAGCTCAAATATCACTTCCTTAAAGAGGATTTCCTTAACCACCTAATCTGAGAAGATATCGCCGTACACAAAATAGCACAGTATCACGCTATTTTCTTTTCTGCACTTACTCTGATACTTTCTTGCATGATTATGCACTTTTTATCTGCCTTTCCCCACGAGACCTGAAACTCTCGGCAAACAAGGACTTTCTTTCTTGGTTATACTATAAACGAGCCTAAGAACAGTCATGGTGTTTAAAAAAGCCTGTAAATATTTGACAAGTGAAAAAACTCTCATTGAATGATAAAACCTTGAAGATGCCTTTCCTTGCGGTAATCCTTTAGTCTTTATTTTTCAAAAGCTCATGCTGAATCCAAGATTTTAAATGTTCAATTACCCACATTTCTGGAGTACTCATAGAAGCTAGGAAACAAATAGGAAAACATGCAATCGAATTTGGCCAAGGCAGCACACACAGACGAAAATGCAGGAAGCACTGTTTGCCCACAACAGACTCCCTGAGGTGGTTTCCCAGTGATGTTTACTCTTTTTCATCTAGCGCAATGGCTTGCTTCAGCTGGTTCCCAAAGTCCTGTTCCCCCTTCGCCTGTAAACTAATCTCACTCGCCATGATAGAGATAGAACAAAAGAACAATGCAAATCAAAACTGAATACCTGGAGCCAGATAAGACGGTTATTATAGTAACAGCCACCGCTGTCTATGAGTTATCTACTATGTGCCATGGGCCAGGCACCGTGCAATGAACGGTTCTTTGTAAATATACCTTCATCGATGTCAGGAGGTAATCCGCCCACAAACACCTTGCGAGAATATCGTTCCACTCTCTCTCCATTCTGGTGAGTGAAGCAGTGAGGTGAACCCAGGCCACTATGAAGAGGTTGATCCCCACGGCCATCATCCAAGAATCCATCTTCCATTGGAAACAGGGAAGACTGACCTGGAATAGAAAGCAGGAAAAAAAAAAAGAAAACGCTAACAGCAAATGTTCCTTGCCACCGATTACCTTACGCAAGAAACAGGGAAAACGGCAGGTTCGATAAAACTGGTGCTTTTATTTCTCTCACTGAATAACAAATCATTTAGATATGCTCTTGAATTCCCGCCACTTGAAAGTCTCAGTTGGGTCAGAGAGAAGGTACACAGTTAAACAGAAGGCCTCTCAACTATCCCCCTGGGATCCAGAAACTTCAATGAGGTGAACTAGAAGTACAGGAGGAGGGAGCGCTCGCTTTTGAAAGCAGCCAGCAGTAGGCAGCACTGCCTTGGCAGGGCCCCATGGCCACGGGCAACCTAGACATGTATACCAAGTATTAAATTTGACTATCAGATGCTAGATCACTTAAATTTTTAAAAAATGCAGAATAATGTAGCCTATACAATGTCCTCTAAGACTGTCCTTAAAATGCACAAGTCAGTTCTTCAAGTGAGCACTCATCTTAGTTTACCTTACTGGGATATAAGCAAACCTCATTTAATGCAGTTCTCCAACATCACTATTTAGTCTTAAAGAATTTAGGCACGCTAAAGATATATTTTCTTTCAGTTGAGTCATGACCAACTGCCACCGATGCCACCTAATTCTAAAAACTAGGCATTAAGTTTGCTGTTTGAAAATCCTATTGTACAGAAAATATAAGCAGAGAAGACCAGAGATGCCAAAGTGGTTAACATTATTCCCGTTTACTTGACAGCAAAATACGAACGTTGTAAATCATAAGCGAAACACAGAGCTACAAATAACTGTAGAATCTCTCGAGGGCTGTTTTGTGACTTTCGGGCTGCCAATTTCCCTGCAGGTACTACGTGAGGAATTTGTTCACGGATCCTACAGAAATGTAGCTGTCAGTGCTCTCCCTTTACTGAAATGTTCCGGTGTCCCTTTGATGCCACACTCGTCTTCCTCTCAACCTTCCTAACTGAGCACAAATAATAACAGTGTACTTGTTGTGAATATATCCCATAGAACTACAGCTCAAGAGTTATGTAACAAAGGCAAAAAATGACTTTGGAGGTTATTTCTTAAATGATCTTTAAAAGTCACTTAGATTTTAGACTTGAGCTATGTGACTAACTTACTTGCTTGTAAAAAGGCAAAGCTATCACAGGCAGAAAACATAAGGCTTATTCAGGTACCTCTAGGAAATGGTTCTTTTAAATTCTCTACAATTTCTAGAGCGTTTTCCCCCAGTGCTCGAAATTTATAGGGTGAGTCATTTGTTCAGCTCATCTCATTGTAAAACAAATGTATTATGCTGAAATCAGCGGAAAGTAGACATAAGGTCTTCGAGTATAACTGAGCTTCCAATAGAATCAGGTATTTTGAGACTAGTCGCCCCATATTTTCCTTTTTAAAGATCCTGAATTCTCTTTCTCCCAAGAAATTCCTTTCAGAGAGGAAAACAGCAAAATAAGCCTTCAGATATAAATAAGTTGACTTTATAATACAGGGATATTATTGATTCAAATCCAAATCCTCCCATTCTGACTCTTTCAAATCAGAAAGTCTATAATGTTAACTATGACACACAAAGTATGTATGGATCAAAGCTCTGTTGCATTCCCCACGCCCCTCCTTCCCCACAAGGGTTAGAAATTGAGTAAACTTGGGTCCTCTCCAAATACAACTGGTACATTCAAAAGTTAGAAACAATAATGTTACCTCTCCTTCGCCCATATGTCCTTGCTGCATGTCAAATGAGAAAAAACAAAAAACAAAAAAACAACCTTTCAAACATTGTCAAAATAATCAACTGTGATTTCAACTACCAGCTTTTGAAACTAAAAAAAGTTGGCTATGCTCCTCATTTCCTAGTAAAGGTCTCAAAAACAAGGAATCTGGATGGTGAGAGGTCAATTTAATACACCCTTTTGATTTGTTTTTCAGTTCTTCAAGGACACTGTAAAGCTGTATTGAATTTTACTTGTGGTAAGAGAAGTTCTGGGCTATAACTGTCACCCAGGATCCGAACTAGGTAATATGTAACATGATGGAAACCAACTCCTACCATACTGGCCTTACATTGTCCCTGAAGTCCCTGCTAACCAGCAATTCAGCAAGTATTTCAATATTTAATTTAAGACTTTTTCACCACTACAGGATCAAAAGCAATTATACACGATGGCTTGATTAGTCCCTCAGAAAGAAAATCATAACAAATGAAATCTTTAGACAATATGTAAACTTCCTTTTAGGCAAGGGAAGTCTCTTGTCCCTTGTCAAATTTTCCACCGTGTCCCAAATGCTGGAAAGTAAAAGGCCTCGCATTTTATTGCCAAGTAGTTACAGCTAAGAGAAGAAAAGTGTATACTCTACTTATATGCCTTTCCCTAGAGACTAGGAAAATGGCAGTACGAACTTTAAATCCAGAAACTTTTGGGAAAATGGCTTCCCTGAAACAAACTGGCACTTAAAAGCCCAGCTTGTCCAAACGCCTCAAACCAATTCAACACATTTCTGAGTGCCTGATCTTGCTGGACACCACGGATAAATAGCACATGGTCCGGACTACACGGAACTAGCAAACTTAAATGCCAGACGGCCGCATAAGCAACTAACGATAATGCAGCATGCCTACTGCAGCAGTGGTTATGTGGCTGGGACAGCAGGAACAGAGGAGGACAAGCAACTGGCCCTGATTACAGCGTCGGAGAGAGGGGTGTGGCGTTTGAGCAGGAGATGGGATGGCATTTGAGACCTTAAGGGAAAAAAAAAGAACAAAAAAAAAAAACAAAAACAGAGAAAGGGCATCGCAGGCCTGGTAATGCAGCAAATAGCAGTGCTGCCACATTCAGGAAAAGTGGCCCAGAACCAGAAGTGTATGGAACAAGAGAGGACCTGGCTGGAGAAATGCGTTCACACAGGAAGCTGGGATAGATTATTGAGTTAGGAGGTGTAGCAGTAGCTTTAATAAGTCATTAGACAAACTGGCCTGGGTTTTGATTCGTAGCCCACTAAATAACTGCTTGAGATGTGTAACTCAGTCATAGGTGAGTTTTAACTCAGAAGTACTGGTGGGTATTTTCCAAAATGAAAGTGTCTCACACAAGATACATTTTCTCCCACTACTAGATAACACTGGATTTCCCCAAAGTCCTTGAACTAATGGATTAAAACCACATAAAATCTCCTTCAGGTAGGGTTTCATTTTGGTAGGTCTTAAATTTGGGGTCAGTTAACCTGACATCGGTTAGAAAGACAAAGATATCATAAAAACAGGTGCTTATTTAAGAACATTCTATTCCTATACCCACTCCAGTGACCAGGGAGTCTGAGGAAATGGATGATTTGAGGCAAAAATCAAATCTCAAAATCTTTAAATGTATACTGTCAAACTTTGATCTTGTACCACAAAACTCAAGCTGGTTAATACACAAGAATTCATGGTTACACTATGAAAACTATTCAGAAATGTTGTCCCACATTAAGAATAACAAGTTATAGGCATACCATGCTTACAACCACAAAAACTGCCAAATGAGTGAGATAGGGAAGTTAACATAAATTAGTACCAAAAAGCAAAATCAATGATATTCTAGGACACAGAGAAGAATGATTATTTTATTTTTAATGTAGATTCTGACACGACAAAATAAAGTACACAAATCATAAGTACGGAGTTCAATGAATTTTCCATGACATGAACATACCTATGTCACATATCTATGAACCCAGATATTAACAAAGTAGTAAATGGTGCCACTTCATCCTACATATGAAAGATGTACTAAGCATCTGTTTCCCAACTATTTCCAGTTATACTTGGCTTAAGATAATGATGAAGAAATACTTGAAACACAGGTCTTCACCATTTTACTGAGAAAAATGTCCGATTTTCAATCTCATGATTATCAAACACTGCATAATATTTGATATTTCTCAAACATCCAAGGAAGTGGCAGGTAAAAAAAAATCACTTTAAATATGGATAAAGAAATCTACACTTTGGAAAACTTCCAGCTAAGTTGGCTGAAATAAACTCTGCCCAGATTTTTCCTTTAATTACCAAAGAGTACACTGTTAAAAAGATTTTCAAAATGCATGCTATTGTTACATGCAAATCTTCTAGTCCCCATATGATTTAAAATGACTACCATTTATATGTTTATCTACTTTTATTATAATTTCTTTGTTTTTACTTATAAAGTCCTGAATAATTTCACATTTAGTACTAACATGACTCAAGAATGCTCTAAATGGACTGGAAACATTATAGCTATAATTTTTTTTTAATGTGTATTTATTTTTGAGAGACAGAGAGAGACAGAGCACCAGCGGGGGAGGGGCAGAGAGAGAGGGGGACATAGAATCCGAAGCAGGCTCCAGGCTTTGAGCTAGCTGTCAGCACAGAGTCTGACCCGGGGCTCGAACTCATGAACCATGAGATCATGACTTCAGCTGAAGTCGGACACTTAACTGACTGAGCCACTCAGGCACCCCATAGCTATAAATTTTTATAACATCTGGATGCATGCTGTTATTAGATAAATACTTTATTTCCAAAATGTCTTTACACGATTGCTTCCAAATGCCCTATATTCATCATTAAATTCCCTCTACTAAAACATTCCAGTACTCTGGGATGCTAGATTGGCAAACAAGGTATAGATAGGCTTCTCAGATCTTGTATATATTCTTTATAAAACTGAAAATATTATTTGTTTCTTATAAAGTACCTTTTCCTCATTTGTTGTAACATTTGTTATGGTCAAAAAGAAACAAGTATCCATAGAGTGAAACAATCATGAAAAGTAAATACCTAGCATGTAGCCATTTTAAGAATGGCACATATTCATGTGCTGGTGGTATCCTAAACTCTCTAAGATACAGTTTCCATGAGTTCCCTACCTGTGTACTGGAGGGCTCATACTGTGTAAATTTAAAAATAAAGAAATACAAATATGTATGTGGGAATATGCATAAATCGTTCTTCTAAAAAC